AGAAAACATGATCTTGAGTCTCGACTGGGGTCACCGACAAAGAAGATAAAGACACACTCCTCTCTCTACAATCTAGGATAGCACCATTTGCAGCCATCCAATTCATTCCCACAATTACATCCATACCTCTCAGTGGTAGGATAATTAAGTCCATAGTTGTTTTCCTATTTTTAAACTCGACTACTAGGTTAAGGCATGCCTTAGCAGTCCTTACAGATTCTCCCGCAGGAGTAGACACATTCATATCAAAAGGTAAAATACACACAGGCAAATCAAGGTTCTTTACACAAGTTTCAGAAATAAAAGAGTGTGTAGCACCCGAATCAAATAGTGCAACAATATCATGATGAAGGATTTTGATGTTACCTCTAATGGCATCTGGGGAGTTCATGGTGTCCTGAGTAAGAGCAAACACACGGCCAGAGACAGTAGGATGTTGGGAAGGGTTCTTCATATTTGAGCCCTGGTTGTCCCCACAAAACTTTGCAATGTGACCGGGTTTCCCACAAATGTAACAGATCCAGCACTGTCCGAAATGACGACGCCCGCATTTAGTGCACTGTTGAGAGCTCGCTGTACTCGGGGCAGGGGTAGATACTGTTGGGCTCCTCTGTGACCCGTAATAACTACTATGATAGCTCCTCTGTCCTTGGCCCCTTTGAAATGGACCCTTCTGCCTTCCTTGGTTCCATGAGCTACTCGAACCCTGATGGTTTTTCTTCATAATGCCTCCGGTGGGTCGAGGGTAGGTTGGGGGTCTACTATATGAATAACCCCTCTTCTCTCTCTCAACCTCCTTCTTACTGCGAGCTACTACTTGTAGTTTTATGCACATTTCATCATAATCTCGGATATCTAGATGAGCCAATTGTTCCCTCAATTCTGGTCTAGCCTTCTCCAATAAGCGCTTAGCCTTCCATTCGGAATCATCCCTATACTGCAGGTACGTGGAGTATCTAGATAACTCCTGAAACTTAGCAATGAATGTGTCCTCATCGAGGTTCCCTTGCTTAAAGGCATGGAATTCCGCTTCCTTCTCAGACCTTAACTCTGATGGAAAGTAATGCCTGAATAATTTTTCCTTGAATTCCTCCCAGGTGAGTGTAGAATCATCCCTGGGCCCTGCTGTCTCCCACCAATCTCTTGCTCCTTTCACTAGGAGCACTAATGCTACTTGTACTTTTTGATTGCTGGTGCATGTGACTACTCGAAAGATGGATTCGAGTCTCTTCACCCATTCCTCTACCACGGATGGTTTAAGGTTACCATCAAACGTAGGAGGGTTAAACTTCCTAACAGTTTCCCACACATCAGTAATGGTCGGTGGGGCTCTCTGTTCCTCCTGCCTAATTTCTTTCCTTCTAGACTCATGATCTCTCAGAGTGGCAGGATGTGAGGAACTGCCTTCCCCCACATGACTCTCAACATGAGCCCTATCTCCATTTTCAGTTACCTTTTGCCTCTTTAGCTCCGTCAACTCTTGTTCGTATCCTTGAACCTTGTCTGTTAATGTTTTTACAAGCATTCTTAATTCCGCCAAGTCAGGCTCCTCATTTGGCAGTGGCGGTGGCAGGTGCTCATGTTGGAATCCTGAGTTACCACGAGTAACAGGCATTTTCTCTCCCCTCCTAAAGGATACAAGATATAAATAATAAAATTAGCCTAGCTATATCATGGCCATACAATGAGAAGCACCATAACAATGTATATTGCCAACCGACTATATGCTCTGATACCAATATGTAACACCCTCAAATTTACAAACCGATTTTTCGCAAGTTATTAATTCAAGAAATCATTTTTTTTTTGAACCCTTATCATACCCTTATCATGGTAGAAAAATTTCTACCATGATACATCCAAGACAATATACCACAGGTCTTAAAATATCTCAAAAAGCAATTAGAACCATGAGGGACAGACATGATCCTCATAGCATGTTATTTAAATTAGGTCATGAATCAAAAGGGACAGACATAATCCTCTTGGACATATAAATGCATTTAATAAAAAGGATTAGAGTTTACATGCTCCATAGACAAGATATGTCCTAAGTTGGCACAAGATACATTGTATAATCCAAAATAAGAGGCAACGTAAAAGATGGTGTCTCATACACCATAATTACACCTCTGGTGCTTTCTCGGCCGGATTCGCTCCTGTAAAAATATTAACCACGGGGAATGAGACTTAAAAGTCTCAGTAACCAAAAATTAATATGTAATGATGCATGCGGATGTAACTAATCATGCGATTGCTAAGTGGGCACACAAAACATTTAACCGAACAATATTTTCAAACAAACCGAACAAGTATTTAATTGCATGACTGCACCTTATATCCTCCTTTCACCATGCTCGGACGCCAAATCACCCGGCCAAAGGTGAGTTGGACCAAGCGACACGCCACTCATTGGGTCCAATGAGGGCTTACCACGTGGTAATAATTAACCGAACAGAAATTCCCATTAACACCATACATTAAAATACCCTGACAAGTCATGCATCATTCAAATATCCAAACAGGAATATATCCGAACAATAATATCTCATCATGATAAAACAAAAATAAATTTTTAACCCACTTGGCAATAATTTCAAACAAGTATATACAGTATTTATTTTCAATAATTCATAATTTTTCCAAACAACAAAACAACACATAACCATTCACAAACACACTCATCACAACACATTAATAATGGTTACCTTGTGTCTTGAATAACAAGTTCCCCTTCACAACTCCTTTTTCACCACTATCTTTGTCAATATAATCTACATAATTATTTCACAATACTATATATTAATTTTACATTAAAATAAATAACTCTAATTTAAAGAGTTAGAAAGTCTTAAATCTATAGTCCATATTAACACTAATTTAAGATTTATGCCTATTTAACTTCCCAAATTCTTTTCTAAAATTCTCGTACCCTAATGAACTATTTTTTTTTATCCTCAATTCACTTCTAGTATCACAATTTCATCCTTCTACATTCTAAAAATTCATCCAAAAATAAATTAAAAATTTTAAAATTATCCTGAAGCCTCAAATCACCTTTCTATAACCTCAAAAATACCTATTCATACTTAAATAAATATTTAATAATCATAGATTTATCCCTACATCTCAGATTCCACATAAATTCAACCATATAGATCTAGATTTTAACTCAAAAATTCTTAAACATGAGTTTCAACCTTAAGAAAATATTCTATAATATTTACTATATCCCTAAGAATTTTAACCTATATTTTTAATCCATCATATCATCAGATTAACTATCCTATAGAAAAATCCTAATCAAAATATTTACTCTATCCTACAAAATAATCATATCACTAGAAAGCTAATATTATTTAGAAAATAACTATAAAATTAATTTTGTAATTAAATAAATTTTTAAATGCTAATCTAAACAGGAAAGTTAGAACATACCTGAAGAAAAAAGAAAATAATCCCCCCTTGCGAGAAAACGCCGAGCAACGTGAGAGGAAGAGAGAAAAATAATATAAAAATGGGATTGTGAGTCCCAAAATTATATTAAAAAAAAACTATAGGTTTGAATTTAATTATTCAAACCTTTGGGCCCAAAGTTGCAATTTTCTCTAAATTGCATCTTAGCCTCTCATGCTTCCTAATGCACACACCCCCTCCTTTTTATACATGAAGGCACCTCTTCTCTTCCCTCATCTAACCAATGTGGGACTTAGAAACAACAACCTTCCACCCCCCCTTTTTTTTGTTCCTTCTACCTTCTCTTTTTTTTTTTAACACACACATAAAAAAAATTATTTATGTATTATATCTTAACTAAATATTGCTTATGTGGTTTTAAATTTAAATTTTTAAATTCATAATTAAATACCTAATCATAATATTATTTCTAAATAACCTCAAATAATATAAATTCCTATTATTATCATTTTTTTTCTCAAAACCTAAATTCCACAATTTCTTTATTATATAAAAATCAGGATGTTACAACCCCACATACACACTCCATCATGATGGCTAAGTTTTTTATTTTTTATAAGGGCATTTTGGTCTTTATCTATTTTAAATACATATATTTATTAATATTATATTCAGATTCCATTCATACCAAACATACATTTATAACTCAATTCTATTCTGATTCAATTCCAATTCTGATTTTATAAAAAACTCTTCCATCATACCAAATGAGGCCTTAAAGGTTCAATTCTTGAATATGTGTATAAAAACATACCTCTTGGGAGAAAACATACTCTTAAATAAAGCTTAAATTCTTTGAGGGATTAATCTATTGGCCTTGGATAACTAAAAAGAAAAAAGAAAAGTGAGCTATACATGCCATAAGAAAGAGTACATAAATTAAGTATCCGAAGCACTTTCTCGTTTATTATCATCGTGTGGTCCTATCGAGAAAAAGAAGGTATGGCTATAATAATGATAAAGAGAAAGACCCGTTAAGTGGATTGAGCCAAAAGCCATATGGTGGGTATGTAATGTATTGTATGGCACAAGGAAGCTTTGGAATTACAGCATTGGATCCTAAAGAGGCACACTCATTGAACTCTACTTTTACAGTTTTCTCTTTAGTCTTTACGGTTCAACTACTCTATTTACAATCCCATTCCTATGATCACAACGTAAAAACTTCATCAGATGTGTTCATTCTGTTCACCTGATTCTGTAATCAGGATATTAAGCATTAGCCTTCCTTCACTCCATTGAAAAATCTCCAATGTTGTTTACAACTTGAGCCAAGAAATTGACAGACATATATTCTATATTCCCTTGCCATCCTGAGTAAATTAGATCTCGTAACTTGGGACGACGTGAAGAGTGTTCTTCACGAAACACATGAATATATTAGTTTAGTCCTCATTCAGCGCCACATGATGCTCATCTACCTGAAGAATAAGAATGAGAAAAAAAATAAAAAAGTTAGACAGGTGAGAGAACACATGACAATGCATCATCAACCACCATAAAGAGAAGTTTTCTTGCCTTCTAAGTTCATTGTTTTAACATACATACTGCTATGCAATGATGGTGACTTGTGAAGCTCCTCTAGAAGAAAGCTTTCTCCCACAAAACTGTTCGAGGCTTGGTCATGAGGAGGAAATACAAGCACAAACATTCAAACGGTAAATTATTTTCGAGTTGAGTTTAAATCAATAACAGTATTCTATTCAGTTCAGAAATTGCAGATTAGGCAAGATGCCTACTAAATTCATTACATCCATTATTACAAATTCATTATTAAAGTAACATCACAACAACCATAGCAAAATATAACTCGATTATTCAATGGATTAAAACAACCTAACCACTACTTATTTCTATAACTGTGAAAAAGAGGAAATGAGGCAAGTTCGTTTTCACAGATTTATAAGTTGTGATCAGGATGTTTGAGGTTTATCACGGGAAAAATTTTTAATTTGATATCAAGGACTCACTTTGATACGTAATTCTTTAAGATACAGTTGGCAAATATCCATTTCATTGATAAAAGAGATTCTTGACCTACAAAAGATAAATCAGTCAAATCAAACCAATCAGAGACATGTAAATGATATCAAAAGTAAATTCTATTAAAAGATATGCTACACACTTGCATCTCCTTTAATAGTTAACTTGTTTAATTTATCTTTTATAAACCGGATGTGCCATAAAATTTATGAATGGGAACATCTTCAAAGGTAGGATGGACTAAAGAAAAAGGAAAAGAAAACAAGAATTGATGACTGCCAAGTGCCAACAGCCAACTCAAGGACTTTCACTTAGTGGTGGACCTCAAGGTGTACTGTACTAACCCTTTTCAACAGGCTGTTCCACCATCATGTGACTTCGCTTAGCAGTTGAGGACCCAGTCGCTCACCCAACTCTCTCTTTTCAAATAATGAAGTTTGAACTCTGAACATGTTTATCTGCCATGCCCATTCAAAATTTTCCATCTATTTGAGCAATTTAACTTGTAAAGAGATTTCACAAAAGAAAAGGGGGGCAAAAAAATCAACACTCATTTAGAGAATCACTCACATGACTTGCTCTTTTGATGACTTGTCCGGAGGTAAGACTCCTAATCTTGTCACTTGTGATCACGACCTGAATAGAAGAGCAACTGTTGCCACATTGTAACGTTTTTTCGAAAAACAATGTGCAGCGCGGTCATGCAAGTCAATGAAAAACAAAATCAGGTTATACATCTCAAGACAACATAGTCGGGACTTCTAATCTTCTTTTGACACATAGTTGGAACTTCTAATCGATTGGTGCTCTTTGAAAGGAAAAAGGGAAACAATTTCCTTTACACATGGTTAGGCAGACCGGACATTTTGAGTGTTTGTTTGGGAAGCGGCTTTGAGAGATAAAGTGCTGCATTGGTGATTTTCATTTTACAGAGGGAATGCAAAATATGTATATGTATCACAGAAAAGGATTCAAAATCTTGGCCTCTCAATCATAGAAAAATGGAACCTCGGATATTTTCGCATGTGTGCAATCGGTAAACTCTCCTCCGGGGTATTGACAATTGACCTGGTAAAGAGCCGAAGCAGACAGAGCTCCTGGACTTTGAGATTGTTATAAATAAAACAAAGATGTGTTAGAACATTGAGTATTTACAGTAGAAGCAGGGCTATCTTCAAGAACATGTCCTTCTTCTATTGTAGCTAGAACACATTTTCCAGCAAAATTTAATTACTGCTGGACATTTTGATCTGAAATTGCATAATGCCGAAGTGTAGCATGTTTTGTTTGAGATAAATTTGCTGATGGAACCTTCTCCAAATTAATGGATCAATGCCTATTCAACCCCAAGGAGAGTTTGCATCCTTCAATAAGCTTTTACCATCTTCTGACAATAGATTAATAAGTTTTTACCATCTTCTGACAGCAGATGTAGCTTTTAAGTTTCTCTCCTTCAGTAAATTTGCTAGTCGTCAGTTTCTTATCTTCCATGGTACACCCTGTTTTCTGCAACTCATATAATTCAATCAGAATCAAGAAGAAAATTAGAACTGAAGGATTTTGCATCAGGACCATGACCAAAACAATTTGCAGAATTCATTTCCACTCTCAATAAATTCAATGTTGTATAAATTTCTTCTATCTGGGGATGTGATCTAGTACCAGCAACAAATACATGAAGTTCTTGTCCAATTTCAATCCAGCTACATCCAGGAATTTTTCTCAGGCCCTTTTCTTTCAGTAGCCTCCTTATACTTGATACTTTATCCCATTTTCCAGCAGTTGCATACACATTTGAAAGAGCCACATAATTACCCGAATTACCTGGGTCCAGTTTTAACAACCATTTTGCTATATAACCTGCAAGTTCAATCTCATGGTTTCGTCCACAAGCCACAAGCATGGATCCTAATATATGTGCATCTGGGTGGCTAGGCATAGTAATAATAATCCTAAGAGCTTCATCTAAGTGACCATGAAGGGAAAGAAGTTTAATTAAGCAACCATAATGTTCTGAACTTGGCTTCATATGGAGTTCAGAGACCATATAACCGAAAAGTTCTAGACCTTCCTTCACCAATCCTGCATGGCTGCATGCCGACAAGACACTGGTAAAAGTCATGTGATCTGGTACTATAGCTTCTTTCTCCATTTGTCTAAAAAGCGCAAGGGCTTCTATAGCTTGACCATGTAATGCATAAGCAGAGATCATCGCATTGTAGACAGGTAATTCCTTTCTTGAACACGTGTTAAAAACACTCTTTGCAGCATTTATAGCTCCGCATTTAGCATACATGTCCATTATAGATGTCCTGATGTGAAGAGACAGAGAAACATAATGTCTCAGAACATAACCATGAATTGCTCTTCCGTATTTCAACAATGTCATATTTGTACATGCGGAGAGTGCACAAGTCATGCTTATGCTGTTGGCTCTAATTCCTACATTTTGCAACTCTTTAAAAACCAGAATAGCTTCATAATTACGACCATTCTGAGCCAGACCAGACATCATTGTAGTCCATGTGATCAAGTTAGGCTGAACGCCCAGAAAGTACATTTCTGAAAACATATTTTGAGCTTCAGTAACCTGACCATTCCTAAGAAACCCAAGATCACAGAATTCCATGATATCACATTTGGTGTGATGGTCTCCATTTGCATCCTATAGAACAATCTCAAGACCTCGCCACTCAGTCCCAGCTCTGCATAAGCAGCTAACATTGTATTCCACAATACAATATCTCTTTTTGTGGTAGAGCTAAACACTCTTCTCGCATAATCCATCTTCCCACATTTTGCATACATATCTATGATGCTACTTGAGACAACCAAGTCAGATTCAAAGTTGCTTTTAATGCAATAGCTGTGCCCCATCATACCAAGTTCTACATTCCTTATATCTGCAGCCACAGTCAATAAAGATGAGAGGATCACACAGTCAAACCTCAAGTTTTCTTCTCTCATCAGATGGCACATGTCAAGTGCCTTCTCAACCAGCCCATTTTGCACATAACAGGATGTGAGCAAATTCCATGTTACCTCATCTTTCATGATTATTTTGCTGAAAACCAGTTCAGCTTCCTCAATCAGTCCGACCTTGGAATAGAAGTTTACAAGGGAACTACCCAAAATGTTGTCTAACGCTAATCCACCTATAATTGCCAGAGCATGCCCTTGTCTTCCCTCTTCTAGTGCCTCCAAATTAGAAGATGCAGTAAGTAAACCTGACAAAGTGACCTGAGTTGGCTCGACATCTTCCATTCGCATGGTATGAAAGAGTTTAATTGCCTCCTCGTTCAGTCCATTTTGGGCATAACCCACAATCATTGAATTCCAAGCAACAACGTTCTTCTCAGGCATAGCATCAAACACCTTTCTTGCATCCTCCAAAAACCCAAATTTCCCATACATATCCACGAGACTACTTGAGACAAAAACACAGTGACCAAAACCCATCATCTTGACGACGTTCCCATGAATTCCCTTCCCAATGCCATTCCATTGCAGAGCACCACAAGCCTTCAACGCATTTGGGATGACAAAATTATCCGGTAGAACCCCGTTCTCTTGCATTTCACAGTAACTCAACAACGCTTCTTCATACAAACCGCTCCGAGACTGCAAACCAATAATGGCAGCCCAGGAAAACACGTTCTGTTTCTCTAGTCTACGAAATAGATGATTCGCCACCTCCAAGACGTCACATTTTGCATAGAAAATCACCAGTTTGGTTTCAATGTACTCGTTTCGCGAAAATAAGTCGCCTTTTTTAATAATCTGAGCATGAATTTGCTGACCCAGAAAAAGAGCTCGCTCGTATACGCATCCCTGAAGAATTTCTCCATAAACATCCGGTCCAGCATGGAGATTCCTGGATTCCATTTCAGCGAACAAGTCCAGAGATCTCTGGATTTTCCCATCTTTGCATAGTGAAGACATATTATCGAAGTAAGACTTGTACAAGTCTTGATGATTACTGCCATCATTGTCTTTGGGGTTTATAAGTTTTGTTGTGACTTTAGGAAAGTTCAAGGTGTTTTGGGGTTTCAGATGAGACACTTGCGGGTTTGTAGTGGGTGAGAGAGGAAGGCAGGCTATGCATTGCATGGAGGCTGGGTCCAACGGCACCGATCGATTTTGCAGCGTTGCAACTAACCGAAGCAGGAGGCGTATTTTCGTCAACTAAAAGTTTAACGGTCAAGGTCCCTTCAGGACGGATAAACTTTATATCAGATAGGGTGATGGGCGTTCAGGTGGAGACACTCTCTCGATTAAAAAAATATAAATTATTTTTAATTAAATCTCATCTTTTAATTACTTATTTTTTAATTAATTTTATTTTTTTATATTTATCATTATTAAATACTTTATAATAAATATAAAATTATTATTAATAGGAATATTTTTTAAAAAAATTACATTTCAAAAGTTTAAAAATATCTTATATTTTTTAATATTTAATTTATTAAAAAAATATTTTACATTTTTTTGTCAGAGGAGTATTTTTTTCACCAGATTTTCCTTTATGTTTTTTTTGACCAATCAGATTTTCTTTAATTAAAATAATCGAATTGTTAAATGACATCGGCATCACAATCTTTTGACACACAAAGTAAAAAAATGTTTTAATACGAAACGCGGAGAGAACTTAAAATTCACCTATTAAATAACGATGCTATACTTCATTCTGCAAAAATAAAAATACTCAAAAGATATCAAATAATAAAATATCCTACTGGCCATGGTCTTTAAAATTGGGATTACAATAGATTATTGGGATTAATTTAATTTAATATGGATTTAATCATAGTCAATTTTTTTTTGGCCAATAAGTCATAGTCAATTAGTGACAGTGAATTCAGAAAACATGATATTAGTGATTAGTGAATAGTAATGCCAGGCTTCTTAATTTTTTTCGGGCAGAATTTCAAAAAAGGGTTAGGGATATGAGGTAATTACTAATGAATCTTAAAAAATTTTAAAATTTCAATTCAATCTATGAGGTAAAAGTAAAAATAATTTTAACTATGAAATGATCAAAGTATCCTTCACTTATTATGCATAATCATTAATTATTAATTTTTTTTACTTCACTTATTAATTTATCAATATCACTTATAAATTACATTCATTTGTCAAACAAGTAGTAACATTAGTTATTAATTTGCTAACCTTACTTATTAATTTGCTAATATTAATTATAAATTATAAGATTTATCAGTAATTTACAACTGATGTTAGTAAATTAATAAATAAAATTAATAAGTGAACAACTGTTGTTACTGTTTATGAGTAAATAACTAATATCAAGTTTTATATAATTATTGATATATCAATTCATGTAATTTACAATTCATATTAATAAATTAACATGTGAAATGAGAAAATTCATAACTTGTGATTTTGTATAATAAATGAAGGATATTTTATTTTTTTTAAAATTAAAATTTTTTTTTGCTTTTATGTTCACAAACTGAGCTAAAATTTTAAAAAATTTTAAAATTAACTAATAATTATGTTACATCTATTATCTTTGATTGAAATTCTCTCCACCCTTTTTTTCAGCGCATCTTCGTTAATGTGTCGAAATCTTTGGTTGGGCTCAGGTCAAACAGCACTATACTTCACTTTACGTAATCGGCCCATCTAGATTTGCCAATACATTTATATTTTATTTATTAGTAAAAAATATAATAAATATTATAATAACAGTCTATAATTAATTTTTTTTTTTTTGCCAACATAAGGAGTAGACTCCAGCAGAGCATATCTAAAAATAATGAATAGACATCTTTCAACTATATTGGTATATATAAACAGGCCAAAATAACCAATCACTTGCTTAATCAAATTGAATTGAGTGAGACCATGTGGGAGTACAACGATTCCAGCAGCAATTTCACATGCATGGTTATAACTTAAGATTTCACTCGAGGGGAACAAGTAGTTGCTTACTTTTTTGAATTGATTTATACATTTATTAACTAACATATAAACAACAATAGACACTTAGGAAGATTTAAAAAATTAAGGAATATATTGAAGCGGTATTAGAAATATGGAAAAACTGAGAGTGCAGAATCTGGATGAAGAAAAAGAAGGTTGGTGTGGGTGGCGTGGGTGTGAAGTGTATTTTAGGTGTTAACAAAAAAAACGAGTCAACGCAAATTTTAATTAAATGAGAAAATAATGAGTTAAGAAATTCCAATCTTGTGAGTGACTCTAACTGAGTGTAACCTTTCATTTTTCCCAACAAAAGTTTGTTCTTTTTTATTAGAGGCCGACCAATCTCAATCCTATTCCTTATTCTCCACTCTCTCATAACGCTTCGCCCCTAGATTCCTCTCTCTCTCTCTCTCTCTGTGTGTGTGTGTGTGTGAATAGATATATAGTAATATAGACACGTACACACATTTTGTCAGTGCTTATCTTGTGTTGTTCTCTAAATTTATTCACCCACATTTGTTACATTCACCCTCTAATTGATACCTTTGTCTCATCACAGATTCATTTGCACATTAACATGATTTTTATAGGTTTGATTTGATTGTTAATTTTTGAATTTTAATTTAGTATAACTCAATTTTTATAGTTTTTAATTCAGTACAACTCAGTTTTTATAATTTTAATTTATATGGATAAAATGATTAATTTTTTAATTCTAAACTTGTGTTTTACTTAAATAGCAAAGACTAATCCTTTTAACTCTAAAATCATGTTCTGCACCTTGTTTTCATTAATAAATAGTTCCAATTAAAAGAAGAATCTAATATATAACAAAGTGAAACAATGGAGTGGAGAAGAACAATCCTAGCTAGCTAGAGCTAAGTGTGTGGGCTTCACAGGTGCACCTGTTTGTAGACTTCATACACTGATTCTCGTCCTCTTTCTTATACGCACATCCTTTTTGTTTACCCGTAAACGTACCTTTCATTGGCTTTAATTTCCCCCCACGACCACCCAATACATACTATATAATTTATCTTTCAATATTATTCCTTTCAACTTTTTAATTAACAATTTCTGATATCATATATAATTATTCCGTGAGATCCAAGTTGAACCGAATTTTGGGATAATTTTATATATGCGTCGCATATGCATGAACTGGCAGAGGCTTTTCAGGTGGATAGATAATGGATTCACAAGAATTTATATATCATATAGAATTTCCAGTTTCTTGTCATGGCTCTTTTCTCCTTAATTTTCACTTTCAATTATTGCTGCTTTATTTCTATCCGTATCTTGGACTTTCTCTCCCACACAGCACTGCCTTTTTTTTTTCTTTATCGTTTCATCATTCTTTCTTTTACTTATTATTAACCCATTTTATGTTCTTCTGTTTTTACCAAGCTTTATATTTATTTAGAATCAGATATAAGTTAAAAATTTACAGATAGTTAATAACATTTATCTATTTCATTTTATGATTTTTTTTCTGGGTAGCTTTGCCGAAGAAATAAATCTCATAATCAAAGTCATGAGCATATTTGTTTCCTGTAATATTGAATACGACAAGCACGCGTGTGTACTGCTTGATGATTGATTGAAGTGTGATGATTCCAAATTTCTTTTTGAAGCTAAGGAAATGCAATACTTGTCCATAGCAAAAGTTCTCCCACAGTTAAAAGACGGAAGATATTTTTTATTCGAATCCCATCTTTAAATAAAATAATTATTTATTTTTAAATTAATCTTATATTTTTATATTTATTTATATTTAATAAAATATTTTATTTTAAAATATATATATATATATATGAAGTAATTTATTCAATAGGGACTTTTTTTTAAAAAAAATGATTATATTTTGAGAGAATAAAAATATCTTGCATTATTTTTGAATATCCAACTCTTTCAAAAAATATTTTATATTTTTAAATGGAGAGAGTAGCATATATCCATTAATTTATTAGTGTGTGCACAAACGGGTTTCCAAATTTGAGAAGAATACTTCACCTAAAGTGTAGAAAGACATAGGCACACATAAATTTTCCATGTGGAACTTGAATTGCCACTTCCCAGCATAATTTTGTAACCATGTCTAACCATATAAGTACCATTAATTTTTGACGATGAAGCTTTACCTTAATTATGTTGGACTACCTTTGCCAGGGGACCATCACTGGCACACAAGTTGTTGTTTGGCTGAGAATGGAGGACCCAGACTTCTCAACTTGATAATCCTAAATCCAACTTGATGGCTGTTTGGGGATTGAAATTCAGATATCATTCATATTGGCACTTTTTATTGCACTTTGAGAACACAAATATTCAAAGATTTAACACTGTTTCTGTGTCTTAAAAGGGACAAAGTGAAAAAGGTACTAATATATATGAGTCAAACATACTTATATGATCTTTATTGTATTCAATTGATAGTGTTTGACACTGTTTCCATTCATCCATATGTTGGATGGAGCCAAGCCTTACATCCTCATCACTTGGCCTAACATGTTCAATTAACACCGTCGACTCAAATACTCTTGAATCTTTATTTGTTTAATTATATTGTATATATTTTGGCACACATTATTCTTGGCATGTGATACTAACGGTCATTAAATTATTTGATCAAAAATTGTAAATTGCTAATCATTTGTGCAATTATATGTATTTATTTGAAGGGGGGGGTGAATAGCACTAGACTCGCGTTTCTTTTCTTTTGTTATTTTTGAGTCAAATAAAACTCTAAGACTCTAGCCAACAAAAGTAAGTCCAAACAATCAAAATGTCACTTATACCTCATAAAACTAGGAATTTGAATATGTTAATGATACGAAAATATCAATAATACGTACTCTTTTTATTTAAAAATATAAGATATTTTTTAAGAGTTGGATATTCAAAAATGTACTTTGAGGTGTAATCATTATCTTTTTTTTTAAGTGCCCTTATTGATAATGACTTTATATTTATTATAGGATATTTAATAAGGGTAAATATAAAAAGATATAGTTAATTTAAAAGTAGGTAACTACTTTATTGAAAGTAAGATTCAATTAAAAATGTCTTACATTTTTTAATGAAGGGAATAATAATTTATAAAAGTTCTTAATCTTGAAACCGGCCGCCCTGTCCCTCATGGTCTCCAACTCAACT